GGAGGAGGAGGAGGAGGAGGAGGAGGATTTGGACATTACAGTTGGTGGTGAGGGCAACTATGGCTGAAACAGGAGTGCTAAGTCCACCTCATCAGTTCACAGAAGAGAGAAGTTCAAACCAGAGACTTCTTAATCCACAGTTCTGTCTCTTATCCACTAGTTTCCTGGTACTGCATGCTAATAATGTAGCAGATAAACAGTGCTTTCATTCGCTTACAGAAAAGGCTGAGAGTTCAGTGGCAGAGAATGTGCCTTGCATGCAGAAGTTCTACATTCAATGCTTGCCATTTCCAATTAAAAAATCTTGAGGAACAAAATTTGCGGCCGGGGGTCGGGGGGGGCACAAAACATCTTAGAGGCCTGCTGTCAGTCATAGCAGGCAATACAAGGGCTACTAGATCTGGGAATAGCATCAGAAGCCTTTCAAAAATGAAAATCACATGGGGAAGTGATTATGGGGTTAAATACCTAACCCCATAAATATTTATGAAAATTGTATTCGATATAATAAATCTTTAGCCATTTTGGAAGTGTTAAGCTTCTGAAATAAAATATTTCATCTCGTCTTAATCCACTTTTTAAGGCATCCAACACAGTGGTAACAGAAACTATGCCTGCTGCTGATGCTGCTAGGAAGGATCCAAGTTGAAAGCAAACTGCCTCAGGAATTAAGCAAACATGAACAGTGGATGAAAGGATAAAGCACCTGGTAGACAAAACCTGGATTTATTTTGTGTATAACAGGCTCATTATTTTAAACACAGAATAGAATTTAACAAGTGTCCTTAGCATGTGTAGAATACTTGCTCTCATGGTTGCATAGAGCTTGGAAAAAAGGTTCCAGGTCAGAGCGTGGTCGTTAGTACTGACCTTCTAGAAATGTTTGCCTGCTATGTTAAAACCTATGCATTAAAAAAAAAAGTCCCCATCGAGTTGAGCTTGATTCCCGGTGGTTTCATAAACCTGTTCTTGCAGTTTTCCTGGCAACAATAAGGAAGGAAGGAAGGAAGGAAGGAAGGAAGGAAGGAAGGAAGGAAGGAAGGAAGGAAGGAAGGAAGGAAGGAAGGAAGGAAGGAAGGAAGGAAGGAAGGAAGGAAGGAAGGAAGGAAGGAAGGAAGGAAGGAAGGAAGGAAGGAAGGAAGGAAGGAAGGAAGGAAGGAAGGAAGGAAGGAAGGAAGGAAGGAAGGAAGGAAGGAAGGAAGGAAGGAAGGAAGGAAGGAAGGAAGGAAGGAAGGAAGGAAGGAAGGAAGGAAGGAAGGAAGGAAGGAAGGAAGGAAGGAAGGAAGGAAGGAAGGAAGGAAGGAAGGATTTTTTCATGGAGTCATCCATGCAGTTTTCTTGACATTATAAGAAAACGTCTTGCCACAGCCTTTTTCCAGGATACCTTTTCAACTTCCCAGGTAGTTCCTGAGAGAGCCAGTCTGGTGTAGTGGTGAAGGCATCAGGCTAGAGATTGGGAAATTGTGAGTTCTAGTCCTGTCTTAGGCACAAAGCCAGCTGGGTAACCTTGGGCCAGTCACTCTCTCTTAGCCCTAGGAAGGAGGCAACGGCAAACCATTTTCAAAATCTTGCCAAGAAAACTGCAGGGGTTTGCCCAGACAGTCTCCAGGAGTCAAAAACTGACTCGAAGGCACAAAGAACAAAAACCATTAGATAGTTCCTTTCCCAAGTACTAATCAGGCCGACGCCTTTCTACTTGAACCAAGCATGCCTAAGTGCCAGACCTAGCTAATGTATATAAAAGGGTATACACTGATTATGGAATGTCCCCATGTCTAACTTCCAGCATTCGATTAAAAAGCGTGCCATGCTTCAGAACACCCCTGCTTTCCTTCATATGCCTGTAGGAAAGGATACTGTTAATTTGAGTTATCATCTGATTCACAAATAGCAGTCAAAGGGCTTTGTATGTGTGTACAGTACACGTACGTTTGTGTGGGAATTCTAAAGAGGGAGAGTATATTTGCTTAGTTGCTTTGTGGAGTAGCATGTATCGTTCCAAAACAAACATTTCTTTATTCATAGGAAAGGAATGCCTCTTTTCAGAGTCTTCAGTGTTTTAGATTTTTAACAGACATTTAAAATCTGTGGTCTGGATTAATGAAGAGCAGCACCTAGTTGATCAACCAAACTGTTTTAATCAGTTAATTTGTTAATTAGAACATTCCTATCAAGCAATGAACTGATTAAACCATACTTTCCTAGTTTAATACAAGCACAAGAGGAATCTGAAAATAATTTCTGAGGAACTCTATATACTCTCCAACCAATTGTTGCTGTTTTGTTTCAAATTTATATTGCAATCTAGGCAAGTGTAAAAGGTACTTTTAAGTTTTCACAGCAAGCCAGACTCATCAAAGGGACCTCAGAATGTCTGAAGTTAATGTGTCCACAAACTCTCATCTGCATGAAAGACAGATCCTCTTGATTTTATATTATTTTTACATGGGATTGAGATGAATTCACTCTCCAATGACAGATCATTGAGGCACAATAATCACCAGTTAGTTTATTTTTGGCAGCAGTACAATGACAGAAAAAAGTGGATCTGATTTATGGATCTGGACAGATCTTCAGAATGTTTAAATGGCTCGACGTGAAGCCACATCTGTCTTCCTGGCTGAGCCTGCCACAGCAGTCACAGGTGTGGTTTAATCTGCATCACCACAACACAGAACTGTGGATTCATATTTTCAGTTATCTTCTTGGGAGTCAATGGAAGTCAGATCATACCCTATAAAATCCACCCTTCTTTAAATAGGATCACCCAGGGAGTTTACGCACTCAGGTACAATGCGCAGGCCCTGATGAAACTCCCTGCCAGGAAACAGGCAAACTGATCCAGTGTCCCATCCCTTTCTACCACTCTGCAGCCTGGCTTTAAAACTGGCCAGATTCTATAAAAAGGAACCCCATCAAACCTTTATCTCCAGTTTCCTCTCCCACCCCAGTCAGCACTTTGGAAGGCAAGTAATACCTAAAGAGGAGTTGATCTGTGGCAGGGAAATAGGCTGAGCCACAATCTGATCCACGACTGGGAACACATTCCCAGGGCCCTGACTGTTCTTCCTTCAAAGTGAAAAATATAGTGTTTAAGTCTTTAGACATCAGGACGCCTTTGACTCTCAGCAGTACCAACAGTGCCACTGGGGTACAGGACTGGCAAAATCCAGTCTTCTCTTACCATATTCACTCACTGGGCAATCTTGGGCCAATCCTTCGTGCTCGACTCATCCTACCTTACTGGGTCTGAGAGTAAAATGAAGGGAATTCTTAATGCCAGCCGCCTTGAGGATAAAAAGGCTCAGATACACATCAATCAAATAATAGAAGAGAACATCTGTAGTTCAGGGTTGAACTGTGGAGTCCTTGGTGCTCTCTGAGCTTGGTTGATTGCTTGCAGACCTTTCATTACCCATCTAGGTAACATCATCACTACCACTGAGAGTGAAGTCAACCAACTAAGTAAAGCAGGGCAGAGGGCTAAAGACCTGGCTTCCTTTTGATGGGGAAGGGGCTTCCCAGATTCCTGGTCTTCCCTTGCGTCACGGAAAACGGGTGCGGGGTTTCCGTCTGGCGGAGCCGACAGCCCCGGCAGCAGCGCTGCGTGGCTGCCTGGAAGAATCCGGAGGGACGCCCCACAGCTGCACGAGCCACGCGACAAAGGCTCTCGGCCCGCAGCGCGCTGCCTTTGCCCACGCGGGGAAGAGCTTCGGGGGCGGGACCACCCGCTCGCTGAAGGCGGCTTCTTTGCTGCCGCCGCTCCCCGCCTCCTTGCGCTCCCTCTCGCGGCTCGCCTGCACTTCCTCGCCTGCCTGCTGGAGCAGCGCGCGTCAGCACGCACTTCGCCCGCCTCGCCAGTGTGGGAATGTGGCGGCGGCCGCCGCGAGGAGCCCAAAGCTCGGGGACCTGACGAGCACATGCTTCGCGCCGCCAGCTCCCTCCGTGTCTTCCGCCTCGCCCGGGAGGCTGCGAAGGAGGAACCGCGGCATGAAGAAGAAGGCGACGGCGGGCGCGGTGGCAGCACCACCAGCAGCTGCGCTCGCGGCGGCGGCGGCGGCAGCGGTGGCAAGACGCCGCGTTGCCCGCTCTCGTCAAGCATGTTGAGGCGTTCCAGAAGGTAAGTCCTGGCCGCGGCGGAAAGTTTCCTGCTCCGAGGCAAAGCGAATGGCGGGAGCATCTCTTTTCCAAAGTACCCTTTGAGCAGCTATTGAAAATCTTGCCTCTAAAGAATTTGCCCGAGCGAGGAGATCTTCGTCTTCTTTTTCTGCTGCGGTGCCTGTCATTCTTTCACCCTTGGAGAGTTTGTCCGACAAAGTAACTGAGATGCGTGCCATGCTGGGCACATAGCTCTTTCCATGGGGCTTTCTCGTTTTCTCAAGGGAAAACAGCGTGCACATTTGCCTCAGAAGGGGGGAAGCCCCCACTGTAATACCGGTTGAGAAACAGGGCATGGAGCTAACAATCTCGGTGGCCAAAGCGATATTCCTTTTGCCGACACTCCTGCGCTGAATAGACATTATTAACTCGGAAGTAAAAGGTCGGTTAGAACGGAGTGGATTTGTTGAAATGAGACCGCACCGGAGCGCAGTCAAACCGCGGCTGAAAGAAGAGGAGACTGCAGAAGAAAGAGACTAGGCAGAAGGCGCATTCTGTACATGCCCCGGAGCTATGCGGGTCCTCGTGGTTGAGTTTCAGTCCAGGGCTGAGCTTACCCATTTTGCTGACTGAAGACTTCCGTGTTGTGTGCATTCAGGGCGGAGGGAGGAGAAGGAGGAATGAGATTCCTTCTGCCAGTCTTGTGTTTGCTCCAGCCTTTGACGTTTTTGAAGGAGCTGGTGTGCAGGTGTACAAGGTGGTGATGGCAGTGTATGTGTGTGTGTGTGTGTTTATGAAACGGGCAAGGAGAGGAAAAGTCAAGCCAGCTTTAGGTATTACTCTTTAGCACTTGCTGCCCTTAAACTAGGTGCAGGTCTCATATGAACACAACAGAGGCTGATACCACAACCTGCTAACCCCATAAATCATGGCTGAAAAATGATGGCTAACCCAAAGCCCAACAGATATGAAGCCTTGGCGTGCTGTGTGAGCAAAGCCATTGTGGTTTGTTAAAGATACTTGATGGCTTAATATGTGGTATGAATAAAGCTATGATCTCATAATGTTTGAGAACTGGAGTGCCAGATGGGGGACACAGCCATAAGAAGTGCCTAAGGATGCACAACTGAGTTTTCCCTATTTCAGTTGTCTTGTTACAGCTATCTTGCTGTCTGATTTTCCCTTCATTTCTATGCAGTTTAACCTTTATTGTTGCTCCCTGCAGTTTTCTTATTCCCTGCTCCAGCTTTTTAGACTGTGTAGTGCTTGGGTTTCTCATGGATAATTATTTTCTTGGGGGGAGGTGGAATCTGGATTCTCTCCCCTCTCTGCCACCACCTGTATAATTTTCAGAAACTTTCCCAGTGTCTTATGATCTGCTTAACTCAAATTTAAGAAACAAAACTACTTTTCTAAAAAAAAAAGAAAAAAAGCCATTCACGTGCTGCCTGAATAAACATTTTTTATTCCCTCCTCCCTCTGCCTTCAGTAGCCACAGATTATTGAACTGAAATATTTGGTTAGGACAGTTCTAGCTCACGTTTAATTTGTGGATTGCATGGCTGCAACATGTAGCTGTGATTTCTGAAGAGGAATCCATGGCTGTGAAGAGGAATTGGACCAAACTGTGGCAGGTGTGTTTGTGAACAGCCTCTTGTTAGGATGGCTCTGGGTTATTTTCAGGTACAGAATACCAGTTGCAGAGAAAAAGCAGAACACCAAGAGAGTGCCGCTATGTCATGCCTCGAAGGAGGCTCCTCTGATGTTTTTAAGAAGGGAAATATAATGAAAACGTGTTTAGGATGGGTATCTAAACAAATGCAGAAGTTTATTTGGAAATTATTTAAAGACCTTAACATCTGTATTGTATATCCCCTTCACTTTTCTTTTAAAATGTAGGGATTGAAAACTCTTCCACTATCTATCTATGCAGAGGAAGAATCTCCTAGGTTACTTCATTTCATGAAACAATGCATATTTAGAATGGGGAAAATGTATGTAGAGAGAAGAAAAAAGATAGTCACCAATAACTGCATGGCAATTCTGATCAGTAAACGTCAGGGGAAATGATTACACTATTTCAGTAATTCCAAGGTTACACTCCTTTAAAACTAGATATCTTCTTCCTGACCCATATCCATTCCACCACTCTTTGGCCTTTGCTAAGCACTTTGTGTTGGCTCCTTGCTAGTGACAAACTAGATTTAAAATAAAATACCCAAGGTTAATGAAGCAGTTAAGTCTAGGTCCATGAAGAGCTTTCATACCATAGGACCTCTCAGTGGCTGAATTTTTCAGGAAGCTCATTACTTTCCATCTGCCTTCTTGGTGTATGAAGTTCCAGCTATTAAATGCAGGGCACTTCCAGATGGACAATTTTTTACTGCTGCCAGTCAAAAAGTATTGCAGAGGTCTTCTGCCTTTTCCTCCTTAATGGATTTTTCTCCCATTAAGAGAGGGCATCGGTGGTGGTGGCGGCAGGGAGGAGGATTGTTACAAATGGAGAATGAAGTCTGTAAAATTCCATGGATGAGTCAGGGTGATTGTGTGATAGGTAATGCCCTATAAGATGCTTTAGCAAAAACTGATACTTGACTGAGTTTAACAGTCCATAAAAATTAGTTCCTTGTGTTATATTTTGTTGCAAGAGGTAGGACATATGAGGAAATAGCCCACAAGGTTAAACAATCATATTGTAGAAAGAAGATAATATTGGCATTCAGATACGGGCAGTAAGTTAAAGCTTCTCAACTGATCTGCAGGAGCATCTGCCTGCCAAAAAAGCAAATGTAGTATGGCTCTGTCTTTTAACTAACTTGTAGAAGCCTCATGATTTTGATTTAGCTATTTAGTTTCTAAGTTTAAATGTACTGTGGATGTTTTAATATTTTTCTTCTATCATGTGAGCCAGCAAGAGTCACCAGATTGTAACAGGATATAAATAAATACTCATCTTCTAGGTCTGCTGAAAACTGAACATGGTTTTTTCCTCCTGCTTATTTCAGTGGATGGTTTCTTTTATCGATGTAGCTTAGATACTTTCTTTGTTTTCTCTAGGGACACTTGATGATTCTAGATCTTGAAGGCCACTGATGTGAATTCATTGGTGCCACCATGACTGAAGCCCTTCTCTCAATTGTCCTGAATATGACTGAAACCCATGCAGTGGCTAACAATGTGACCAGCAATGCCACTAGCAAATGTTCCTTGACCAAAACTGGCTTTCAGTTCTATTACTTGCCAGCTGTCTACATTGTAGTCTTCATCACTGGATTCCTGGGCAACAGTGTGGCCATCTGGATGTTTGTCTTCCACATGAGGCCGTGGAGTGGCATCTCAGTTTACATGTTTAACTTGGCCCTAGCAGACTTCTTGTATGTCCTGACGCTCCCTGCCCTGATCTTTTACTACTTCAATCAAACTGACTGGATCTTTGGAGATTTCATGTGCAAGCTACAGAGATTTATCTTCCATGTCAATCTATATGGAAGCATCTTATTCCTCACATGCATCAGTGTGCACAGATACACTGGTGTGGTATATCCTTTAAAATCATTAGGGAGACTGAAAAAAAAGAATGCTGTTTATATCAGTACCCTGGTCTGGTTTATTGTGGTAGTGGGAATCTCTCCCATCTTCTTTTACTCTGGGACTGAGGTAAGGAAAGTCAAAACCATGGCGTGCTATGACACAACAGTAGATAACTACCTGCGGAGTTACTTCATTTACAGCATGTGTACCACTGTCTTCTTGTTTTGCATCCCATTCATTCTGATCCTTGGTTGCTATGGATTAATCGTGAAAGCACTGATTTACAAAGATTTAGACAATTCCCCGCTCAGGAGGAAATCAATTTACTTGGTTATTATAGTGTTGGCAGTATTTGCTGTGTCTTATCTTCCTTTCCACGTGATGAAAAACTTGAATCTACGCGCCCGGCTGGATTTTCAGACTCCGGAAATGTGTGCGTTTAACAACAGGGTTTATGCTACCTACCAAGTAACTCGAGGGCTAGCGAGTCTCAACAGCTGCGTGGATCCTATACTATATTTTTTGGCAGGAGACACTTTTCGGAGAAGGCTCTCCAGGGCAACTCGGAAAGCCTCAAGACGAAGTGAGCTCAATGTGCAATCCAAAAGTGAAGATATGACTCTGAGTATTTTATCTGAGTGCAAACAAAATGGAGACACAAGCTTGTGAATGGTTCCTTTTCCCTTCCCTTCCCTTCCCTTCCCTTCCCTTCCCTTCCCTTCCCTTCCCTTCCC